GTGCGCTATGTCCCACCTCTCAGGTGCGCTATGTCCCACCTCTCAGGTGCGCTATGTCCCACCTCTCAGGTGCGCTATGTCCCACCTCTCAGGTGTGCTGTGTCCAACATCTAAGAGACAGTTTTCTCTCCCCGTCCTTGACAACAAGAGACAATATGTTAGAAACTACATCAAAATATTTGGTTTATTTAGTGTGAGGATAAACTAAATAGAATTAGTCTCAGTTTCTAGTTAATTGTCTCTTAGCGATTCATATATTAATCTATTTGTGGTTGCAGGGGTTGAGTCTTAGTTCCTGGCCATGAGTTTGTGTTTACTCACCTATATGTACTCGCCTATATGTGGTTGCAGGGGGTCGATTCACAGCTCCTGGTCACGTCTATTCATTGGCCGCTATTATGTCCACTCTTTCCTTTTCCGGGCGCCTTATCGTACCTCTTCTTAAAGCTATCCCTGGATCTTGCTACCACTAGTTCACTCTCCAGATTCTTCCACTTCCTGACAACTCCGAGGCTTAGGAAATACTTCTTAACATCACTGTGACTCATTTGAGTTTTCAACTTCCTGTTGTGTCGCCTTGTTCCTGTGTCCCATCTCTAAAACCTTTTATTCCTGTCCACCTTGTCAGTTTCAGTATTTTATACGTCGCTATCATGTCTTCCCTATCCCTCTTGTCCTCCAGTGTTGCCAGACTGAGCTCTCTTAACCTCTCCTTATAGGATATAACACTTGATTAAGTGATTGGTCTTTTTGCAAATTTCTGCACTTTCTTAAGTTTCTTGTCGTGCTTAGCCAGGTGTGTGTGTGTGTGTGTGTGTGTGTGTGTGTGTGTGTGTGTGTGTGTGTGTGTTTGTGTGTTTGTGTGTGTGTCTTGAAGTAATATAATCAAATTAAAGGTAACACTAACACGTATATTCTGAACTGTCCTTTAAATATTAGTACTTAAGGCCAATAAGTGGTGGGCAAGCAACGCCACTAAGTTCTTTTCTAATCTGATTTTTTTTACATCGAAATAATGTATGAAAATAAAGTTTTCTACATAGATGAAGTAATGATAGTCATTATTCAGCTTTGCGGTTGACCCAGTTCATTCCGGACTCTGGTCTATATACGCGGGTGGACGTAATAATATGAACATCCCACTAGAGTTGTTCAGAATTGGCATGAAGAACATGAAAGTGAAGTCGATCACTTTGATTAACCCCCACAATGGCCGGATCTAAATATTATCGAGCATCTGTGGGGTCAATTGGAACAGCAAGTCTGGAATTGATTTCCTCCAGTGTCGTCTCTGGAAGACTTAGAACAGGTGTTGCTTGAGGAATGGCTCAAAATTCTCCTGGATACTGTTTAAATGTATTATGAATCAGTTTCTCTACGAACTAGTGCTGTTTTATCTACAAATGGAGAACCATTTGCAGGTGTTCATATTACTTTCGTTCAACCCCTCTATCTGCTGAGACTTTTCCGATGCCATTTTGTTATTCTTAAACTGTTTCTGTGTCACCTTAGACTTCTCTGCTAACAGAAATCTTAAGACATGATATTAGAGGAACGTGGGGGGAGGGGCCATTTAATGGGTGCCAACATATCTATTCCATCTGCCAGATAACTTCAATCTCCGATAATTATGGTGCCGTATGGGAAGAACTGGAGAGTCGTATCTTTCACAAGACTATTGTAATAAGTTTATGAAATCGAAGAAGGACATAGCTATTTTCTTGCTTAAACAACATTTGAATATTAAAACAAAACCCAGAAATGGGACAATGGTAAAAATTAGAAAAAAGGCATAATACCGTGACTGGAACAATTCAAAAATAACCCGCACATAACCCGCACTCGTCTACCTACTACCTGGAGCCTACCTGGAGGGTGGACTCGTGACTTTCTAAATGGTCCAAGTCGGACCGAAACGTCGTCTTAAGCTCCTCTCTTCTATGGTAAAAAATCTTTTAAAATTAGGAAGACAAAACAACAGGTAACATGTGTATGAGGTGGACATGATAAAGATGACAGCATTTTATCAAGGTATTGACATCGCAACTCCATTATGCTGTCACCTCAAGAAAGCTTTCATCACCCTTAAGAAATGTTCACTCATTAACAGTCGACCTCACAGTAACGACACTCTCATTCGATTTAAATTACACAATTTTAATTTCAATATACTGTTATTAATTTTCTTGTTACAAAGAATTCTTCAACACTTGTTCAACCTTTGGACGAAGACCTACTTCGACTAGTGGATGGTACCACTATGACCCCGCCTCCATCTGCTTCACGTCACCTCACTACAGTATATAAGCCACGTCTACGGCCCTATGCTGTACATTCTACAAGATTGATGGACTGAACACATCGACTCCAGGTTGAGGGACTGATTACCTCATTCTCCTCCTCTCCTTACGCCTTCCTCTTTGTATTGGACTGATGAAGCCACTGTGTGGCGAAACGTTTCCTGAATAAAGATTCCTATATGCTGCATAAGTGTCTCAATCTTCAAAATTAGGAAGACAAAACAACAGGTAACATGTGTATGAGGTGGACATGATAAAGATGACAGCATTTTATCAAGGTATTGACATCGCAACTCCATTATGCTGTCACCTCAAGAAAGCTTTCATCACCCTTAAGAAATGTTCACTCTTTAACAGTCGACCTCACAGTAACGACACTCTCATTCGATTTAAATTACACAATTTTAATTTCAATATACTGTTATTAATTTTCTCTTTCGAATTGATATTGTCACTTTCTGCTAACGCTGAACACACATCGCATGTCGCAGTTCATGGAGACAAAAGTGTCAAGGGTATTCGTTAGCCGAGTGAAAATAATAACAGTGAGAAAATGTGAGAGGAACCTGAGAAAGTACAGATGCAATAGGCTTGCTTTTTGCAATCACGAAAAGCTCTAGTCACCCTAAGTGAACTAGTATTGCATTACATAGTTAAAATTCAGCCTGAGACAAGGGGCGCCATTAGCGGATGGAAAAACGAGCCTCCACCGCATTTTTTTTTTTTTTTGCTGGCCAAGAAATGTAATAATGAGAACTAAAATTCAGGAAGAACAGGTCATGAGAATCAGTATTTGGTGACAATGAGTGTATTGATAATAGATGAGGTTACCAGAGCTATGATGACCATGGATATAATGACCTGACTGATGATAATCCAAGATGCGATAACTTGTCCTGTAATCAGTATTAACATCACATGCATAGACAAGTAGTAAACTTGTAGGGCTTACACAGCATTTGGGGAATGAGGTAGTTAGGACTGCTCTCCACCCCCACTCCTAATGAAGGGTTACTTGATTTGAGAAATGCTGTGATCAACTGACCTATGCTGATCCAGGCTATATAGAACTGACATTGATTTTGAAGACCTTAGCTATACGGTACCGTGGCTGTGAAGGACATCAGTGACCCAGGAACCCGTAGTAACACGAAAGGCAGAATCTTATTAGAGCCAACTGTCACTTACCATGGGTGATATCTCAACCTTATAAACCTTCTTCTGCCCTTTTATTTTTACAGTTCTTTGATAATGTGAGACATCACGAAAGCGCTTGGGATTTCACTGTTTTTTCACTGTGGTTATTTTGCATATTATGGTATCACCTGTTAAAGCAGTGTACGCTCAAGGATATAATATTACGATATTACGCAGTTTCTGATCTACTAACACTAGAGACAACTGTGTATCACAGAGCATACTGCAGTAGAACGCTCATCAATAGAACGATTTTCTACCATATATTCCATGATTTATGAGCATCAGTATAGTGTAAGGACAGTATTTGTGGTGGCCTAAACAGCAATGTCTGACACGTTTTGCTAGTTTATTCATCAGAAAATATACCCTGACGTGAGTCTTTCTCACAAGACGACCCTTTTAGTGGTGTCGGCCGCATCGTGGGAAGACGGTGAGTCGGAGAACGTGAAGAGAGGTTTTCCAAAGTTTTGATTACAGACTATGGCAGCATCGACAGCTGTTGTCTTGTTGTGATCTGAATCATAATGGGTAACCTGTGGTGACCTAAATTGTAATGAGTGACTTGATATATGGCACTCCTGAGGATGAATTAGACACATGCAACACCTGGGTCTCTTTAGTTTGTAGACGTTTCGCCATCCAGTAACTTTATCAGACAGTAAATGGACATAATCTGAAGGCTGTAGAAACGTATACGGAAGACAGTGGAAGGCGAGGTAATCAGTCCCACCCTAGACAGTAAAGATACCCAGATGTTGCACATGGCTCTACATTATCTATAACCTTAATTTTTAAAAGGGTGGACCGGTAAGCTAGTGGAAGCCTTCTGTCGGATGACCAAAACCCCAGCTACGGGTCATCACGTGACTAAGACCCGCGTCAGGAAGCACTTGTACTGTTTCCTGGGATACCTAACCTAACCTGTACACCATGGCACTCCTGGCTGTGGTGATCTGACAGATGCTGGAGGTTCTACTGGCAGTATTCCAAACTATAACGATCAGGGTTCTATTCATCGAGGTTCTAGCTGGAGAGGAACTGAACTCTCGCTAGTGAAGACGCTCTTTTAAATCTATAATGGCTCCAGATGCCTTCAAAATATATGATTCATCTATCCTCTTCATGACTAAGTTAATAATAACACACGAAGATTGGAAGAGTGATAAATATTTTAGATATAATTAACCATTTCAGACATTTTTGAATGGCTAAAAAGACTTGTAACGAAAAATGAAGAGCCAAAACAGTCACTGCCAAACCTCAAGGATAATAACACAATTACCGCTAAAAATAATGTGGAAAATCATTCTAACCTTGTCAGCTCCAATACTGTTGTGGCAATAAAAAGAAAACTAGAATACCCCATTTAACAAAAATAATAATAATAATGAAGGTTTTCTTAAGCTTCTTACTTATCCTAGAGCAATGAACTTCTCTCCACTCGACATCGCTGGAGAGAGTGACTATATAAAGCCGGGCGTACCGGTTTCAGTCAGGGAGACCGCTCACAGCAGCGCCATGGTAAGGTGCTGTCCACTTGGATGTATATCGCATGCTGCTTGCAGACCTCGGAGTGCTTGGATAACTTTGCGCTGTCATCATAATCTTTTATTTATCTTGGGAAAGTTCTCTTATCCGCTGAAATGAATGTTTGTCATGTATACTAAACCTTAATACGGCATGCATATTACTAACACGTAATCGTTCCTATATGTGTATATATGTAATTAATTTTCTTTGCTGATTAAGACATTTGATATTAGGCATTTGTTAAAAAAATTGTCATTAAGGATGTATTTTCGTGATAATTTATGCATCTAATATTAATTTCACTTTTTTCCCTGTGTATTTACATTGTAGCTTGTCTGCGGCGTCAGGAATATCATCCATACGTAGAGGTGCGACGTAAGTCACTTTATTGCGACTAATAGAAATCAGCTAGCGATTAATACTGCTTTTCTATACTCAGCAACTCTATATTTTATTATACTGTATTTTATTATACAGCTGTTCTTGCAGCTGCAATATATAATAAAAAATATGTTTATTTCTAACAAGGTTAATACTGTGCAGAATGTAATTTCTTCCTAGCCGCAGTCTTTTCAACTTGCTGCTGCACCCAGCTTGCTCACTTAATTGTTACCAAATTAGCATAGCCAAATGTTAAAAAGAAAATTATCTTTTTGTGTAAAGAGACTTATGCCGCATCTTGCATATAGAATCTGAGATCTCTGATTGAGTCGGTAATGTTAAACGTAATATCAGTACTGTGTATTTTGGTCTTTGCTGTGGTTGGGTTTGTTTTTGTTTGGGATGCTGGTGAGAGACATTCACTAACTACAGATGACAGTTATACACCTCCATAAGGTCAACTATCTTCGCTGGACGCTTTACTCATCTTCGTCTTCTCTGCCCACCATTCTCTCAGTATTATCCTTCCTTTGTGATTTCTCTCTTTTTTAACCGAATCTTCTCCTGCCTGTTCTCTGTTTCTTAGCACTAAGCACGGTTTTATTACTGAAGAGACCCTGACACTGATCTAATACAGTCTTAGACCAACATCTTATGACTTAAGTCGTAAGATGAACCAATGCAGTGGTGCGAAGCTTTGGCGGGGGAGATGCAAGTTAGTGTATGATGGTTGGGTACTACTTGGCCCTGTGAATCGCCACGTCAGCAGTGATCTCTGGTTTACCTGTGTTGAACTCAGTGGTCTGAATTTGGCACGATGGAGAGCTTGACCGTGTCGTACTCACTGCTTTGAGTGTCATTGTGGTGGTCCACGGCAGCAGCGGCCGTGGCTTGGGTCAAATTATTCAATTGTGATTCGTTGCGAAACTGACCTTTGTTTATTACTCCTTTGTGTTCACCCTGATATATTATTTTAATTTATATGCATTTATATATGTAATCAAATTTAGTCTCATCATATTTATTAGGTTTTAATTATATTTATTAGTTTTACTTATATTTTATAGCTTAAATTATGTTAGTCTCTACTGTTTATTTAGTATTAATAATGTTCATGCACAAATATACATACATATATATATATATATATATATATATATATATATATATATATATATATATATATATATATATATATATATATATATATATATCGTGCCGAATATGTAAAACTGGTCAATTAGCAAGAACTCATTTAAAATTAAGTCCTTTCTGAAATTTTCTCTTATACGTTTAAAGATATATTTTTTTTCATTAATGTTAATGTAAAAATTTTTAATTTGGCACCAAAAGAATCTTAGAAAACTTACCTAACCTTATTATAACAAGAACAATTTATTTTAGCCTAACCCAACTAAATATATTTTAAATTCGTTTACAGTAATTTAGTACTAAACAAACACAATCAAATATATTTTTTTCGTTAGGTTCAGAATGGTTTTGGCGAAATTATTGCATATACAAATTTTCACTTGTCCTATATGGCAAGATGATCGTTGCTATTTAAGCCAAGATCGCAAGTTCTGCCTATTCGGCACGACATATATTATATATATTTATATATAATATAAAAATATATATAATATATATATATATATATATATATATATGTATATATATATATATATAATGGGGTCCACCTCTGGTGTAAATTGTGGGACCCATAGCCTCGGAGAAGTGGTTTAAAAAGGTTTTCAAGGAAAAGTATTTGGATTTCTTCCTGAAGCCGTTTGAATATTCCACTTCCCCTACCACCCCATCTTTTTATATATTTTTTTTTTTTTTTACTAATAGGAATATTTTATTACATAATATGGTACAGAAGATCCAAGAGATACACTATTGATATAAAGGTGGCACATACGGTACATGTTGTTACGTGTGTATCACCGATTATAAGGCGAAAATCTCATCCAGCTCCTCAGAGCTGGGGCGTGTGCCCAAAATACAGCAGGCATTACCCCTTTGAACAGCCGCACTGAGCCGCTGGAAACAGAAAACTAGCTGCCCTGGGATCCCTAGTTACCCTGATGAGTCTTTTTCCCAGCTCCTTAAGGAATTTAGATGCACTCTTTCCCCATGAGCCAAGGGTCTCTGAGCCTATGGGAACAAACATATAATGATGGGCAAGTTCTCCATATTTTCTAGACTTTTGGGACTCCCTGAAGCTGGCAGCTGCCCCCCCTTCCTCCCCGGTGTATTGGAGATAGGTATCAGCCAAGGTAGATGCACATGTATAGTCCCACACCACCTGCTTCCCATCTGTCCAGGCTTGAAGGGTGATACCATCTGGACGCTTCTGGCTGCATCAGATCTGCATAGTTGGGGTGGCTCCCTTACTGCTGGGCATCCAGCTGTTGTGAGGCTCCTCTTGATAATGTTATTAACCTCCTCATGTCTTGCAATCTTTCCCTCGGATTTACGGCACACAAGACCATGGTACCCGAATCGGTCTGCTGCTCACTGCCACAAATACACCTGTGTTCGGCGAGAATAGGGGCGGCAAGTCGAAGGGCAACACCGATGCGGATGGTCTGTGGGTCGAGACGTGTGCCAAGGCTGGAGTTGGAACAGCCAACAGAAAGTCCCCAGCATGAGGGGCTCTCACTGCCAGGAGGCGGGCTCTATCCTTCCCTGACACACTCTGAAGCATTGTTGAGGCAATATTTTCCACTATTGGACCATCCCAGTGCGATTGTTTGTAGTTGTTGGGGGGAGCAGGTCTGGCTCCAGAGCCCGTTAGATTATCCCAGATCATTGCTCCGTCAATGAATTTTTGGTCCTGGACTCCTATCTTGTCCCTAAGATGTTCAGGGAGAATCGCTGCTACAAGCTCTCTGGATGCAATACACGAGGACAGAAAAGCAGGTAACGCAATCTGTGATGACTTGCGGACACCAATGCCTCCTAGTCTGACTGGAAGTGTAGCTTGGTTCCACTGCCCGTCTTCTAGAGTAAAAGGTTAAGTACTTTCGTAAAAATCTGCCTCAGAATACTGTCATATTCGTGCAGTATAGGGTTATCATATGAAGGTGCACATCTTAGGAAATATGTCAACCTGGGCAGACTCAAGCACTTTGTGAGAAGGTACAAGCATCGTGGGTGTCCAGATTGCCTATTCGTTGTTCCGTCCTCCTTAACTCTTCCAATTTCTTCCTGAGAATTGTGTCAATGGCATTGCTTCCCAGAGGTGCTCCTAGCAAGACACTATTATATATATATATATATATATATATATATATATATATATATATATATATATATATATATATATATATATATAATGTCGTGCCGAATAGGTAAAATTAAGTCCTTTCTAAAAATTTCTCCCATGCTTTTGAAGGTACACTTTATTCATTTATGTAAATGTAAAAATTAATAATTTTGTAAGAAGAGAAGCTTAGAAAACTTACCTTATTATAACAAGCGAAATTTAATTTAGCCTAATCCAACTAAATATATTTTAGATAAGTTTACAACCATTTAATAAACACAATGAAATATGTTTTCGTTAGGCTCAGAATGATATTTGCTAAATTATTTCATACACAGTTATTCAACCCACATCATGTTGGCTGAATAACTGTGGCCGTCTTCCTTGTTATTACAGATGCCTCACCCTTTAAATGAGTTTATTTTAATAAGCCTGATTTCCTTTACATGACTTTTAGAAGTCTCCCTTAAAATGTTAGTTTTTTCATCCCTTTAAATAGACACGCTGTCCCGTGGGTGGCAACCCCATAATTGCCAGTGACTTCTATATCACTGACAATATATTTATGTATGTAAAGTTATTGATATCATAGCAGAATATGAGAAAAAAAATTTATTATTGCCACGTTAATTTCGTTTAGGCTATTAAAATATAAATGCTTGTGGGATTTTTTAATGCTATAATATTCATCTTTCTGGTTGTGGGCACTAGTGTGCCTGGAGGGCCTTTCTGTACTCTTCTTTTTGCATCTAGTATATATATATATATATATATATATATATATATATATATATATATATATATATATATATATATATATATATATATATATTTATATACATATATATATATATATATATATATATATATATATATATATATATATATATATATATATATATATATATATATTATATTGCTGATGATACTGTGCTTTTGTGGGATTCTTATGTTGCAAAGGTTAGTGGACGAGTTTGGGAGGGTGTGTAAAAGTAGAAAGTTGAAAGTGAAAATAGATAAGAGTAATGTGATGAAGGTAGAGTATGGAAGAAGTGAATGTTTTCAGATATTTGGGAGTTGAATTGTCACCAGATGGGTTTATGAAGGATGAGGAAAACCATAGAAGTGATGAAGGAAAAAAGGTGAGGGGTGCGTTGAGGTATCTGTGAAGACAAAGAACGTTTTTCATGGAGGCAAAGAAGGGAATGTATGAGAGTATAGTGGTACCAACACTTTTTATGTGGGTGTGAAACATGGGTTGTAAATATTATGCAGAGAATTCGTAGTGTGGAAATTAGGAGGAGGTGTGGAGTCACTGAAAGTATTAGTCATAGGGGTGAAGAGGAGTTGTTGAGGTGGTTTGGTCATTTAGAGGGAATGGAACAAAGTAGAATGACTTGGAGAGCGTATTAATCTACTGGGGAAGAAAGGCGGGGTAGGGGTTGTCCCCGTAAAAGCTGGAAGGGGTAAAGGAAGTTTTGTGGGCGAGGGGCTTTGACTTCCAGCTAGCATGCATGAGCATGTTAGGAGTGAATGGAGACGAATGGTTTTTGGGACCTGACGAGCTGTTGGAGTGTGAGCAGGGTAATATTTTGTGAATGGATTCAGGGAAACCGGTTAGCCAGACTTGAGTCTTGGAAATGGGAAATACAATGCCTGCACTTTTAAAGGAGGGCTTTAGGATATTGGCAGGTTGGAGGGATGTCTAAACTGTCGTATCTGAACGCCTCTGGAAAGACAGTGATTATGTATGAGTGATGGTGAAAGTGATGAATGATGAAAGTTTTTTTTTTGCTCTCTTTTTGGGTTTTTCTTTATATATATATATATATATATATATATATATATATATATATATATATATATATATATTATATATATATTATATATATATATATATAAGTACAAGTTCACAAGTACTTAAGCCATCAATATCAATTTGTCCCAGTGGGATCGAAGACCTAGGAATCATGAGAAAAGAATGTCACACGTTTCCTCGAAGAACTGGGTTCCAGACTCATTGACCTCCCTAGGAACCCAAGGGCGGCCACTCTCTTGTTCCAGCGCTTCAACGTGGCTATTCAGAGTGGAAATGCTTGCGGTCCAGCATCAGAAGAACTGGATGAGATTCATAATCTTTGATATATTGTACTATTATATTAATGTTAGTGCTTTTTAAACTATGTATGTGTAATATATATATATATATATATATATATATATATATATATATATATATATATATATATATATATATATATATATATATAAATCATGCCTTTTCACAACTAACCTACAAATTGGAAACTTGACGTTCTGAAGCCTTATCAGTTCGTGAGTATCTTGTGGGTTTTGAGTCGCTCACATTGTAAGTTTAGATTCCATCTTCTAGCTTCTTAATTCTTATTTTCAGAAGATCCTCCTCATCGCTATTGGAGTGGCCCTCCTACTGGACCCCTGCCAGGCGGAGCTCAAACCTGGACTTTCCAAGCATGGTGGCCTCAGTCGAACGATCGGCGGCTCTGAAGCCAAACAAGGCGACGCTTTCAAGCTGAAACCGGGAGGAGGGACTGGTGGAGTAGCTGAGGGATTTAAAGACGGACACAGCTTGGGATCTTTTGGATTTGGACACGGTGGAGGATCTATTGGCCCTGGACTCGTTGGAGGATCTGTTGGCCTTGGACTCGGTGGAGGATCTATTGGCCTTGGACACGTTGGAGGATCTATTGGCCCTGGACTCGTTGGAGGACCTATTGGCCTTGGACATGGCGGAGGATCTGTTGGCCTTGGACACGGTGGAGGATCTGTTGGCCTTGGGCATAGTGTAGGATCCGTAGGAGCCGTTGGTCTTAAACACGAAGGAGGATCTATTGGCCTTAAACAAGGTGGAGGATCTGTTACTGGACACGTTGGAGGACCCATTGGCCTTAAACAAGGTGGAGGATCCGCTATTGGACACGGTGGAGGATCCGTTATTGGACACGGTGGAGGATCCATTATTGGACATAGTGGAGGATCCGTTGGACTAAAACATGGTGGAGGATCCATCGGTTTTGGACATGGAGGATCCTTCGGTATTGGACATGGTGGAGGATCCGTTATTGGACACGGTGGAGGATCCGTTGGACTAAAACATGGAGGATCTGTCGGAAGCGGACATGGTGGAGGATCCGTTATTGGACATGGTGCAGGATCCGTTATTGGACATGGTGGAGGATCCGTTGGTATTGGGCATGGTGGAGGAACCGTTGGTTTTGGACATGGAGGAGCATCTATTGGTCTTGGACACGATGGAAGTTCCATTGGTTTTAAACATGGTGGAGGATCCGATATTATTGGACATGGTGGGGGATCCGCTGGTCTTAAACAAGGTGGAGGATCCATTGGTCTTGGACATGGTGGAGGATCCGTTGGCTTTGGACACAGTGGAGGATCTATTGGTCTTGGGCACGCTGGAGGATCTATTGGTCTTGGGCACGCTGGAGGATCTATTGGTCTTGGGCACGCTGGAGGATCTATTGGTCTCGGACACGCTGGAGGATCTATTGGTCTTGGACACGCTGGAGGATCTATTGGTCTTGGACATACTGGAGGATCTATTGGTCTTGGACATGGTGGAGGATCCGCTGGTATTGGACATGGAGGAGTACCGGTTGGTTTTGGACATGGGGGATCCTTCGGGGCATTACATGGAGAGTCTGATAGCGTGGAAAAGATTGCTGGTGTAGGATCTGATGGGCTTGGACATGGAGGAGGATCCCCTGGTTTTGGGCACGTAGGCTCCTTCGGTGAAATACATGGCGGATTTCAAAGTGTCGAAAAGGATAAATCTGCAATTTTAGGTGGACATGTTGGGTCTGCCGCTTTGGGCCATGGTGGAGGCGACATTATTGGACATGGGGGACATATTGGGATTGGACATGGTGCATCTGTTGGTGCTTTACACGGTGGACCCCTTACCATTGGACACAGTGGAGCAGGTGATGTTGGACATGGTGTTGGACCCATTGGAATTGGATATCAGGGTCCCATTGGTGGACAAGGTGCTCTTACCAGTGGTGGACACAGTGAAGCCATTGGTGTTAAACAAGAGGGCCCCTTTGGTATTGGACATGGTGGACACGTTGGTACTGGACACGGTGGAGCCGCAGGTGTAGGACATGGTGGATCCTCTGGTTTTGGTCAAGGTGGAGCCGTCATTGGTCTATTTGGTCCTATTGGTGGTGGACTTGGTCCCGTCGGTGGTGGACTCGGTCCTGTAGGAGGTGGACTTGGTCCTGTCGGAGGTGGACTTGGTCCCGTCGGTGGCGGACTTGGTCCCGTAGGTGGTGGACTTGGTCCCGTCGGTGGTGGACTTGGTTCCGTCGGTGGTGGACTTGGTCCCGTCGGTGGTGGACTTGGTCCCGTCCGTGGTGGACTTGGTCCCGTCGGTGGACTTGGTCCCGTCGGTGGTGGACTTGGTCCCGTCCGTGGTGGACTTGGTCACGTCGGACATAGTCCCATCGGTGGTGGACATGGTGGAATCATCGGTGCTGATTTTGGTGGAAAAATTAATAGTGGACATCTCGGGCCCATCGGGGTTCATGGTGCCTCTATTAGCTTAGGACACCCTGGATCTTTAGGAACCGGGCATGGTGTAACTGGGGGTGTTGGACATGGTGGGTCCACAGTAAGTATCGGTTCGTTTAGCGGTGGCCATGGTATCTCATCCAAAGATGGACATATTGGATCAGTAGGTGTACAGTCTATTGTCGGTGGCGGACACAGTGGAGTCATCGGAGGCGCTCATGGTGGAGTTGTGACCGATAAGGGACGAAACGGCGCTGCTGTTGGGGGGTCTGTTATCGGAGGATCACATGGAAAACATCGCGGTCATGTAGCAGGCGTCTCTGAAGGCAAGAAGTCGATTGGGAGAGTCGGAGAAATACATGCAAGTGCCCTGACCGATTCCAAAGGGCACGGCGACTCTGCTGTATTCGTATCTAAAGGATCCATTAGTGGTGGGCATTCTGGTGGCGCAGCCATCACTAAACATCAAGGAGGAATTTCTGGAGAGGCAGGAAAGTTTGGGTCTCGTCAAGGTCACGCTGGTGCAGTGGTCGCCACTAAGCATGGAGGCATCCCTGGATCGGTAGGAACATTTGGGAGTGTCGGAAGACACACTGGCGAGGCATCCATCACTGAAGGGCATTTAGGACCAGTTGGATTCTCATCTGGAATTAACATTGTAGGTGGACACGCAGGTTTGGGTGTCTCAGGTGTACACCAAGGACATCTGGGAGTGGCATCTGTTGGCCTAGGACCTGTTGGAGGAAGAAAAATTAATGACGGACATTTAGGAGTTGGTGCGGCTGGGCTGGGCACTGCCAGTTTCGCTGTAAAAGGTGGTCATGGTGCTGGTTTCGGAAGTGGTATCGGTGGCCCTGGACTCATCATTGACGGTGACACTGAACACAGTGCTCCTGTTGGTAGTTTGTCTGGAGTAGGTCAATTTGGAATTGTCGGAGGTGGTCATGGTGGTTTTGTATCCACTGGAGGTCATGGGACAAGCTTTGGTGGTGGACAAGGATTTACTTTAGGAAGTCCTGGAGGTGTGGCTGCTGGCAGTTTCTCTCAGGAGAAAGAACATAGAGGAGGCGTCTTAACAGGTGGTGGCTCTGTACCCACCCAGTACGGTACTCCAACCGTTAGTTTCTCCGGAAGTGATGGTGGGGCCGGTCTCGGAGCTTCCGTCATCCCCGGGGGGGAGATCGGAGGCGAGAAAACTGGAGACGGGCTCGAAATATACCCGACTCCGGGGCAGTTCATCGGCACCTTTGATGATGATGGGTTACGATTTGGGAATCATGAAGGGGCAAGCCAAACCAGACACGGCAGCAGCGTTGGTGCAAAACAAAGAAACTTAGGCGGTGGTGGTGGCGGCTTCAAATCTGCTGCAGCTCAACGCAGCAAATCTGACAAAGACTCTATTTTTCTTGACGGAGACTCTGCAGGCAAAGGCCATGGTAGCTCCGCTTCCAAGGAACGCAGCAAAATTGCAGGCTCCTTGCACGGAGGTGATTCCTTAGGGGCCATTCATGGAGGTGGTGGTTCCTTACGGGCCATTCACGGAGGCGGTTCCTTAAGTGCCATTCACGGAGGTGGTTCCTTAGGTGGCGTACATGGAGATGGTTCATTAGGCACAAAACATGGAAGTGTCTCCTTCGGAGGCTTTCACGGAGCTAGTTCCCAAGGTGCATTACATGGAGGGAGTTCGTTAGGTGGTCTACAAGGAGGTGGGTCCCTAAGTGTCTTCCAAGGAGGTGGCTCTGTAGGCGCAATTCATGGAGGAAGTTCTCTAGGTACCATTCATGGAGGTGGGTCACTAGGAGGCAGCTTCCTGCAGTCAGATGCCCTGAAATCAGTACATGGAGGTAGTTCCCTAAGTACCATTACCTTGGGACCTAAACACGGGGCCGTCGCCGTGGGATCCGGACATAAAAAACTCACCGGTAGGAAACACGGCACTCTTGCAAATCACGGAGCCACTGCCAAAATAAATGTAAATTTCGGGCCATCTGAGGCCGCTTTTCACAATAACAGAGGAAAATTTTCTCATTAAATGGCCTCGCACGCCACTTTTCGACAGTAGCGAAGAGGGACACCCCCTTCCCTCAGATATTATGCTTAAGTAAACAGGAGTTCAAATGAAGATGTTGTACTCGCAGTCAAATATACATTACAATAACAATGTTGAACTTTGTTAAGTGATATGTTGAATATGTGTGTGTGTGTGTGTGTGTGTGTGTGTGTGTGTGTGTGTGTGTGTGTGTGTGTGTGTGTGTGTGTGTGTTTGGTGTCGTGTTTATTATTTTATACCGAAACGTTTATAATGCAATAAATTTTATTTTAAATACATTGTGTGTGTCATAGAAAATCCCCACGTGTAAAATTCTACTCAAAATACCACTGGCCACTATATGACCAAAACTACTGCATTAAATCTTACCTAAGGTGACCACCTGACCTGGTACCTCCCTTATTCACTGCTCTATTCTCAACCTCTTCTTTTCACTGCTCTACTCTGTACCTGTCCTTATCACTGCTATATTCTTGACCTGTCTTTTTCACTGCCCTATTCTATAACTATCCTTTTCACTGCTCTATCCTGTAATTCTTCTTTTCACTACTCTATCTCGCACCTGTCCTTGTCACTCTCATCTCCCCAAGTTTTGCTATCCTTCTGATTACCTAAATATATTCGTTGTATGCACAAGAGTCACAATATCAATTGAAAAAACACTAAAAAACTTGAATGGTAAGTGTACAGACTAGGATAAATTAGACACACGTGCAACACTTGGTACTCCAGGTTGAGGGACTGATCACCTCAAAGTCCTCCTGTTCTTCACCATTCTCCTTTGTATGGACTGATGAAGCCACTGTGTGGCGAAACGTTTCCTCATTAAAGATACCCAAGTGTTGCACATGAGTCTAATTTATCAACTTGTCGGTTCTCTGAACCATTCATATACACAGACTAGGATGTATTTGTATAAGTCAGCTGAATGTAAATTTTTATGCTAGTAAGTAAAGTGTTTATTGAGAACATGACATAATGCATAATTATTTAACGTAATATAATGATATAATTTAACGTAACGTTCAAAAATTATGGTCATTCGGGCCACATTTTATTTATATGGTAGTCAAGATCTATTCAGTCAAAAAAAAAATTTATCTCTAAAATAAGTCGATAAAATTAACTCTGTGTATGGTATAAACCTTGGTAGTAGATACCGTCAAATTGGTTTAGAAAGACACTAGGACATATCAGAAAACATTTCGGTCCAGGGACCTTGATCACTTCTTAACCTCTGTTAGAAGTGATCGAAACGTTTTCTAAGAGATATGTGCTGATATTTTCTCAGGTGTCTTTCTAGACCAACTCGGTGTATACAGAGTGAAGGTATATATCCTTTATTGTAAATATACCCAGTGTCATGCAAACGTTTATTAAGTTTCAACCCTAACAACTCGGTAGTCATTTAGGCATCACAACAGGTCCAGTTCACAACAGGTCCAGTTCACAACTGACCCGTTCACGACAGGTCCAGTTCACAACAGGTCCAGTTCACAACAGGTCCAGTTCACAACAGGTCCAGTTCACAACTGACCCGTTCACGACAGGTCCAGTTCACAACAGGTCCAGTTGACAAAAGGTTCAGCTCACAAAAGGTCCAGTTCACAACAGGTCCGGTTCACAACAGGTCCAGTTCACAACAGGTCCAGTTCACAACAGGTCCAGTTCACAACAGGCCCAGTTCACAACAGGTCCAGAATATATTAATCTCTAAAACAGATATTAGAGTAAACTCACTGTATATTCGCTGTTATGTATAAGTCTCTCACAAGTAAACCTTGTGTAATTTTCTTTAAAAATCATTTTGCTGACTACAGGAGGCTTTTTTTGGTCACTAACGCCCAAAAATTATATACAAAAGCCCCGACTAAGGAATTGGGCAACCATCACTTCCCTTGTTTCAGACCTGATTACCCCCCTTTTTTAAAAAGGATTTTATAACCCCTAGGATTTAGCGTCCCCATCAAAAATAAAAATAATAATATTAAAATAAAAGTTTAACTCATCTCAAGCAATATGAAAGCATCATTTTATCAACGGGATTGAGCTTGCGCTGAAGGGCCCCATCGGGTTTTTGGCGTTTCATGACATCAGTCTTCACCCCTTCTTTGGAAAAACATTGCCCATTTATCAATAAAAAAAGTAATCACCCCTCCTCCCCCCTCCTCGAAAAACCTAATTGTCTGATATTGCTTTCGAACTACATGACCCTCACGGGTTTACATTCCTACGAGTGTAAGAATTAGAATAATCTGGATTTTCAATGCTCGGTGATGAAACATTTCTGTTACTGCTGCTACTGTTACTGCTGTTGCTGCTACTGTTACTGCTGCTGCTGCTACTGTTACTGCTGCTGCTGCTACTGTTACTGCTGCTGCGCTACTGTTACTGCGCTACTGTTTACTGGCTGCTACTGTTACGCGTTGCTGCAACTTTTACTGCGTTGCTGCTACTGTTACCTGCTGTTGCAGCTACTTTACTGCTGCTGCTGCTACTGTTACTGCTGCTGCTGCTACTGTTACTGCTGCTGCTGCTACTGTTACTGCTGCTGCTGCTACTGTTACTGCTGCTGCTGCTACTGTTACTGCTGTTTGGCTGCTACTGTTTACTGCTGCTGCTGCTACGTTATTTGCTGCGCTGCTACTGTTACTGCTGCTGCTGCTACTGTTACTGCTGCTGCTGCTACTGTTACTGCTGCTACTGTTACTGCGCTACTTTTAAACTGCTGCTGCTGCTACTGTTTACTGCGGGCTGCTGCTACTGTTACTGCTGCTATTACTGCTACTGTTACTGCTGCTGCTGCTACTGTTACGCTGCTGCTGCTACTGTTACCTGCCTGCTGCATGACTGTTACTGCTGCAGCTGCTACTGTTACTACTGCTGCGCTACTTTTACTGCTGCTATTACTGCAAAATGTTACTGCTGTGGCTGCTACGTTACTGCTGCTGCTGCAACTGTTACTGCTGCTGCTGCTACTGTTACGCTGCTACTGTTACTGCTGCTACTGTTACTGCTGCTGCTGCTACTGTTACTGCTGCTGCTGCTACTGTTACTGCTGCTACTGTTACTGCTGCTACTGTTACTGCTGCTGCTGCTACTGTTACTGCTGCTGCTGCTACTGTTACTGCTGCTGCTGCTACTGTTACTGCTGCTGCTGCTACTGTTACTGCTGCTGCTGCTACTGTTACTGCTGCTGCTGCTACTGTACTGCTGCTATTACTGCAACTGTTACTAGCTGCTGCTGCTACTGTTACTGCTGGCGCTGCTACTGTTACTGCTGCTGCTGCTACTGTTACTGCTGCTGCTGCTACTGTTACTGCTGCTGCTGCTACTGTTACTGCTGCTATTACTGCTACTGTTACTGCTGCTGCTGCTACTGTTACTGCTGCTGCTGCTACTGTTACTGCTGCTGCTGCTACTGTTACTGCTGCTACTGTTACTGCTGCTACTGTTACTGCTGCTGCTGCTACTGTTACTGCTGCTGCTGCTACTGTTACTGCTGCTACTGTTACTGCTGCTACTGTTACTGCTGCTGCTGCTACTGTTACTGCTGCTGCTGCTACTGTTACTGCTGCTGCTGCTACTGTTACTGCTGCTGCGCTAACTGTTACTGCTGCTGCTGCTACTGTTACTGCTGCTATTACTGCACGTTACTAGCTGCGCTGCTACTGTTACTGCTGCTGCTGCTACTGTTACTGCTGCTGCTGCTACTGTTACTGCTGCTGCTGCTACTGTTACTGCTGCTGCTGCTACTGTTACTGCTGCTATTACTGCTACTGTTACTGCTGCTGCTGCTACTGTTACTGCTGCTGCTGCTACTGTTACTGCTGCTGCTGCTACTGTTACTGCTGCTACTGTTACTGCTGCTACTGTTACTGCTGCTGCTGCTACTGTTACTGCTGCTGCTGCTACTGTTACTGCTGCTGCTGTTACTGCTACTGCTACTGTTACTGCTGCTGCTGCTACTGTTACTGCTGCTGCTGCTACTGTTACTGCTGCTGCTGCTACTGTTACTGCTGCTGCTGCTGCTACTGTTACTGCTGTTATTACTGCTACTGTTACTGCTGCTGCTGCTACTGTTACTGCTGCTGCTGCTACTGTTACTGCTGCTATTACTGCTATTGTTACTGCTGCTGCTGCTACTGTTACTGCTGCTATTACTGCTATTGTTACTGCTGCTGCTGCTACTGTTACTGCTGCTGTTATTACTGCTACTGCTACTGTTACTGCTGCTGCTGCTACTGTTACTGCTGCTGCTGCTGCTACTGTTACTGCTGCTGTTATTACTGCTACTGCTGCTGCTGCTGCTACTGTTACTGCTGCTGTTATAACTGCTACTGTTACTGTTACTGCTGCTATTACTGCTACTGCTGCTGCTGCTGCTGCTACTGTTACTGCTGCTACTGTTACTGCTGCTGCTGCTGTTACTGCTGCTGTTATTACTGCTACTGTTACTGATGCTGCTACTGTTACTGCTGCTGCTGCTGCTGCTACTGTTACTGCTGCTGCTGCTACTGTTACTGCTGCTACTGTTACTGCTGCTGTTATTACTGCTACTGCTGCTGTTATTACTGCTACTGTTACTGCTGCTGCTGTTACTGTTACTGCTGCTGCTACTGTTACTGCTGCTGCTGCTACTGTTACTGCTGCTGTTATTACTGCTACTGTTACTGCTGCTGCTGCTACTGTTACTGCTGCTGCTGCTACTGTTACTGCTGCTGCTGCTACTGTTACTGCTGCTACTGTTACTGCTACTGTTACTGCTGCTGCTGCTACTGTTACTGCTACTGTTACTGTTGCTGCTGCTGTTACTGCTACTGTTACTGCTGCTGCTGCTACTGTTACTGCTACTGTTACTGCTGCTGCTGCTACTGTTACTGCTGCTGCTACTGTTACTGCTACTGTTACTGCTGCTGCTGCTAATGTTACTGCTACTGTTACTGCTGCTGCTACTGTTACTGCTACTGTTACTGCTGCTGCTGCTACTGTTACTGCTGCTGCTGCTACTGTTACTGCTGCTGCTGCTACTGTTGCTGCTGCTGCTGCTACTGTTACTGCTGCTGCTGCTACTGTTACTGCTGCTGCTGCTACTGTTACTGCTGCTGCTGTTACTGTTACTGCTGCTGCTGCTACTGTTACTGCTACTGTTACTGCTGCTGCTACTGTTACTGCTACTGTTCTGCTGCTGCTACTGTTACTGCTGTTGCTGCTACTGTTACTGCTGCTACTGTTACTGCTGCTGATGCTACTGTTACTGCTGCTGCTGCTACTGTTACTGCTGCTGCTGCTACTGTTACTGCTGCTACTGCTACTGTTACTGCTGCTGCTGCTGTTACTGCTGCTACTGCTAC